CGAGTGTTTCTGAAGTAAAATCGTCGTCTTCGTCGTCCATCGTGTCCGCGCCACAACAATTCGTGCCGTTGCCGAAAATTCAGCTGCCTAGTTTCGACGGTAGTTTGTTGGAGTGGCGTTCGTTCCGCGATATTTACGTATCTCTTGTACACGACAACACCGGCATTGGGGATGCCGAACGTTTTCACTATTTATTGTCGTGTTTATCGGGTGACGCTCTCGCTGTTGTCAATACCTCTGTCCGCGAACAATTTTCCCTCGCTTGCAGTGCCGGATCACCCATTAGGCGGAGTAGGCGCCCGCCTTGGGGCCTTACTCATTTAAGGGGCCCCGTGAAAACGAAAAACCCCACATTTTTTAATTTAATTATACCTGTATCATATTTATGAGATTACGGAACAAAAGTCATTATGCAATATAAAAATTAAGTTGTAGGTATTATATGCAGTATTAAAAATAAAATTATTTGGTGATTTTATCGTCGTGGTAAATAAGTAGGTACTTGATAATATTTATCATATATTGATAAACGGCGACGCGCGACGGTGGCAGTAATGAAAATAATTACATAACCGTTGTTATCTGTATTTTATTGCAGTTATTTGTATAAATATCAAAAATAGATTTTAATGGCCCACAATATGGCTACATCATTATTCATTATACGTACTATTATAGATAATATATAGCTTTAATCATTTTATTTGATATCTATCACTTGGGTGTTAGAGAAGACAAGTATCGTATGGAGTTCTGTCATATTGCTAAATTTTTGTACTTTGAAAGGTAAGTTTTCAGTTTTTACACACGCGCGTTCATAACGCCTCATGTGTAACTAGCTTTATTATTTTATATAATAATAATATACTAATATACAGTAAACTGTCGTCTGTCGATTATCAGTGGTCTTCCACGGAACCGACTTATCGAGAAATAATAATAAATACAAATTATGTACYTACATGCATGGTAATAATTTRTTATCATGCATGTACATGATTTTTGTTATTAATACATTAATACTAYATTTCAATTTTTATTTGAAGAAAGTTAAAAACGCGATTTTAAACATTATGTATTTATTATAATATACTAAATCATACTAAACTATTGACACTGGCTGTTATCGTTATAATTAATGAAAAGGTGTAATATTGTACCGTCAAACCGGGTTACTTGAGACACTTTTGAACTTCAAATGAATGCTGGTCGATCAGCTTTCAAAATATAATAATAATGGTAATGACCAAAAATTCTGGTCTTGACTTAGACTATGAGACCCATATGTTTTTTTTTTATTCCCCCTTCCCATTTTTTTTTAAAAAATATGCTTGTCGCTAGTTACCTTGATTTTTGGGTAACTTGGGACACGTATATATTTCTATGTAAAATTCAAGTCACCTTCGATATTGTTTAACTTGGGACTTAATAATTGTTTAAAAAAAATGTGAATGTTGACTTAAATAAATTAATTAATTAAATAACTTTTGATCAATAACGAAACCTTAATAACATACTTTTTAATATAAAATAAAATAAAAAAATATAATAATAATATAATAATAAATTAATTTTTCTTGTAAATGAAAAAAAAAATAATAAACATAATTTTGTTTATTAATATTAGTTTGTTATTATTAAAGTTGTATATTTTAACTATAGGGTAGCAAAGTTAAAGATGTATGTAAAAAATAATTTTGTTGGGGCCCAAMATTTTAATTGCCTAGGGGCCGACCAATGTTTAATCCGGCACTGCTCGCTTGGGAAGCACTGTCCGTTCGGCTTGATAATAAGCGCTTGCTAGCTTCGGCACACTTGATAAACTATTTGCATTTAAACCTATTGCACATCAGTYGCTACCAGCTTTGACGTCGTTTATCAACACATTCAAAGAAAATGTAGCCATAATCAAAGCGCTCGGTGTCAATGACCTTTCAAGTTTTTTATTATTTCACGTGGGTTCCCGAGTTCTCGATCCGACGACGATTCAATTATTCGAATCCAATGCGTCGAATTCTACAATTTTGACGTTTGATGAGTTACTACATTTTGTACAACAACGGTGCAGAATATTAGAAAACAAAAAATTCTAGTAAACCTGATGTCGCCGCCACGACGGCACATTAGCCGTAGGTATACCACCGACTGGACACAAACACACACACAATCACCTGTTGTTACTATAATATTTATTTTTGTATGTACCTATTTAAATGTGCCGTGTGAATTATATAACATATACAGTGCTCGAATTGGAAATATAATAGAAGGGGTGCTAAAGGACTTATAAAAATTTAGCGTTCCACTCAATGATTTAAACCAAACTAA